CCAGCTCCCACTTCCTTGAATGTGTCTCCCACTTCTTTTCATTGTCTACCAGGCTGGGTGCTTGTGGTCCGGTTCCCGGCTGGCTTGTCTCCCACTTCCTTGCATGTGTCTCCCATTTCCTTTTATTGTACCCCGCTTCTTTTCATTTGTCTCCCAGGCTGGGTGCTTGTAGTCGGGTTTCCGGGAGGCTTGTCGTGACCCCAAACTTCTTCCCCGAACAGTTTGCTCTCAATTCTTTCTTAAGATGTGTCCGCCCTTTGCGTCACTGCTGGTGTCCGCCCATTTGCACTGACCATGTAGCATTTCTATTCATTTGTCTCCCAGGTCTGTCACTGCTGGTGTCCGCCCTTTTCCGCTGGTCATGTAGCATTCCTATTCGTTCGTCTCCCAGGTCTGTCACTGCTGGTGTCCGCCCTTTTCCGTTGGCCATGCAACATTTCTATTGATTTGTCAACATTTCTATTCATTTGTCTCCCAGGTCTGTCGCTGCTGGTGTCCGCCCTTTTCGTCGGCCACGCAGCATTTCTATTCATTAGTCTCCCAGTCTGTCACTGCTGGTGTCCGCCCTTTTCCGCTGGCGATGCAGCATTTCTATTCATTTGTCTCCCAGGCCTGTCACTGCTGGTGTCCGCCCGTTTCTGCTGGCCATGTAGCATTTCTATTCATTTGTCTGCCACATCTGTCACTGCTGGTGTCCGCCCTTTTCCGCTGGCCATGTAGCATTTCTATTCATTTGTCTCCCAGGTCTGTCAATGCTGGCGTCCCCCCTTTTCTGCTGGCCAGCTAGCATCTCTATTCGTTTGTCTCTCAGCCCTGCACTGCTGGTGACATTTCCATTCGTTTGTCTCCCATGTCTGGTGGCCGCCCTTTTCCGCTGTTTCTATTCATTTGTCCCCCATGCACTGCTAGTGTCCGCCCTTTTCCGCTGGCCTTGCGGCATTTCTATTCATTTGTCCCCCAGGCTTGTCACTGGTGGTGTCCGCCCTCTTTCGTTGTTTCTATTCATTTGTCTTCCAGGTCTGTCACTGCTCGTGTCCGCCCTTTTTCCGTTGGCCATGCAACATTTCTATTCATTTGTCTCCCAGGTCTGTCACTGCTGGTGTCCGCCCTTTTTCGCTGGCCACGCAGCATTTCTATTCATCTCCCAGGTCTGTCACTGCTGGTGTCCGCCCTTGTCCGTTGGCCACGCAGCATTTCTATTCATGTGTCTCCCATGCCTGTCACTGGTGGTGTCCGCCCTTTCATGTATTGTGAAGACAACAAACCAGGTTCTTGAGGTTTCATGAGGGACACTTGCACCTGTAGCAACCAGGTACCGTGGTCGGACCTTTCGGTTCGAATCTTAGGCCTTGAGCCTTCACCCATCCGCGAGCGTAGGGACGGTCGCGAGAGGGCTCAACGTTCTTGACACTGGTAGCGAGAGCCTTGTGCTCTAGTAGGTGAGCCATTGGCACTTTGTCTTTGACCCCGCTAGAGCTGGTTTCGTTTGGACCTTGTTTTTGGCCGTGCAGTGCTGACATTGGTTCCCGGGTCGCAAGCTGAGGAAAAGTTAGGGAAACTATTCCACCGGGTTTCGTATCTTCGAGTGGTGGTGACCTTGACCCCGAGGCAGTTGCTGGAAATTCAATTTTGTGCAAGTTTTGACAGCTCGCAGTTTCACATTGGTGCACGGAATTTTTGTTGACATTTTGTTGACAATGCAGCTACAGCAGACAGGACAATCATTGTAATTGTATGTTGATCCCAAGTCAAATGTGGTGCATTACGATGGCAATCCAAAGCTGGCGGAGGAGTACGAGGAGAGAGTTTGGCTGGGGTTCCAAACGGTTCAAAAGGAGGAGAAGACAAGTTACGCTGCCAAGCTGAAGAATGCTCTCCATGGAAGGGCATGGACTCTATGCCATCGAAAGCCAGAGATTGCGGCTCAGAAGTTGCTCCAGATCAGCGAAGCTGAACCATCTGCAAATGCTGGACCGAAGGCGGCCGTACAGCTGGTGGTAAGGACAGTTCGAGCTGCGTGTGAGAAGGTGGCACCACTCCTCAAGACCCAGACATTTGAGGATTATTTCTTTGAGAAGGGTCGCCGGCGCTTGGGTGAGAGCATACAGGACTACATCAGTCGACGGGAGGGTGAATATGAAAGGTTGTCCGGATTGACCCAAGGTCATACCAAGCTGTCAACCGACCTTCAGGCCTTCTTCCTGCTCCGAAATGCTGGCGTGACTCCACCACAGCGTCGAGCCATCCTTGGACAAGCTGGTAATGAGTATGACTGGGACAAGATTGTTGAAGCGATGCTCATTCAGTTGGATGGTGGTGATGAACCGCAAAGCAAAGGTTGGAAGGGCAACTACAAGGCTCGACAGCAGAACAGCTACAACCCAGGTGGCAAGCGATCATGGGCTTTTCCTATTGAGGAGGAAATGAAGGTGAGACGGAGGAGATCTATGCAGTTGATGACTGGCAAGAGGAACAGGTTGAAGATGATGTTCCGGTGTATGAGGTTGAAGAAGACATCCAATATGACATCGAGGAGATGGAACATGCCATTGAGGTCATGACGGTGGAAGACATTTCATTTGATGAGTTGGGTGTTTTCGCAGCTACCATTCAGAAGATGGGCAAAGGAGCCTCAGAGTATGCCCCAGAAAGAGGCAAGCTGTCCGAGATGGCAAAATCAATAGAGGATTTCAACCAAGTGCCATTGGACACAACAGAACAGCAATCGCCCTGGATGGCAAGTTGACACTCAATGCTGGTCAATTGCAAGACAAGCTACAACAGATCAAGGCAAGGACGCAATGTTATGACTGTGGTCAAAAGGGACATTGGCGTGGTGATAAGACATGCCCAAAGAACTCAGGTTCGCCTTCGTCAAGCATGAAAGGTGGGAAGTAAGGTCATGGTAAGAAGGGAGGTCGCAAAGGTGGTTTCCTTCAACGTGCAGGCATGGCAGCAGCTATGTTGGCATCGGCTTCAGGTCAGCTCCTCTCATCATGCCAGGATGCAACGAAGTGCCTTGGATTGAATGACATGGAGGAAGATTGTGGACCCCAGGCCTTTGAGATGGTTTCCCACATGATGGACGAAGGGCCGAAGACATCGGGTATGCCATGGTTGAGTGTGGATGCATTCATGACGCATGACGTTGACATGTCTACTATCCCACACAGCCTGACCTTTATGACCAATGCCAGTCATGAGACAGTCCCTGCTGGAATGTGTGTTGTGGACACCGCGGCATTGATCGGTTGCGGAGGAGACAGGGCATTGGATGAGTTCACAAGTTTGGAAGTGAGACATGATTGCAGCAGTCCAACAAGTTGCTGAAGGGTGTCAATGCGGATGCCCCGGTTGTGGTGCAACATCAGCAATGGATTGACATCAACATCGCCGGACAAAAGGGAAGAGTTGCTCTTCATCGACTTCCAAATTCTGATGTACCACTCCTGCTTGGACTTCCTCAGTTGCGAGAACTGGGTGCGGTGATTGATCTCACGGCTATGCCAAAGCCCACAATCCAATTCACCACGATTGGATCCGAGAAGGTATGGCCCTGGGGGACACCTACTCCTAGACATTGGACATGACAAGGGCAAGAAGAAGGAGACAAGTTTCGCAGGCGAATCCATAGAAGTCTTTCATCAATTGAAGGCCAAAGACTTCAGTGTTGAGACCCCCCGCGTCATGAAGAGCAAATTGAGGAAGAAGATTCAAAAGATGGCAGAAGAAGCCAAAGAACATGGCTGGGCACTATGGAAGGAGCTCAAAAAAAGGATCGAAGTCGCATGTGAGAAGGGTGTTGGTGAAGGAGCTCTACAGTGGAAGTGATGGTGGAGTTGTCACCGCCCTCGCCAAAGACAACAACATGGCTTTTGGGAAACCCCGAGACCTTTTGCTGGGTGACAACTTCCTCAGGAAGGAGGACCGACGGGCCGTGTTGGAGGAGATTCGTGTTGAGAAGCCCAGGTTGGTGACGATGGGATTCAATTGTGATCCATGGACTCCACTCAGCAATTTCCTAGATGAAGAAGTCAGAAGGATTCAGCAAGAAATCGCACTAGATCATCTGGATTTTGTGAAAGAGGTCTGTGAACTTCAAATTGCAGGTGGACGACACTACTTGCTCGAGAACCCCCTCTCAAGTCAAGCTTGGAAGCACATGTTGGAAAAGATTGAGCAGCGTCCTTGTTTTCATGCCCTACATGCGAGAAAGAACGTAGAAGTCCTGCGCGATCAACAGCGGCGGTGCCAAAATACGACAGCTTCAATCAATGTGTGGCCATGGATATTGCACACATACCTGACCAAGAAGATGTGATGCATTCCTTTTTGATGATGGTGGATATGGCCACATCCTATACCCTCGCATCCTACCTGTGCTCAGGTGAAGGTCCTGGCAGACCCAAGAAGCCTCAATCCTCTCAATGCAGAAAACCGATGATGGATTGGTTAGAAGTCTTCGGAAGTCCTGACAAAGTGCAAGTCGATCAGGACGGCTCATTGAGGGGTGACTTCAGAGATCTACTTGAAAGGTATGGTATTGAAGAAGTCTTGGTAG